TTTAATTTTACTTAAAACTATACATTGACCTAAACTTTGGTAGAAAAAGTACTAATTTTTATTTTTACAAACACTTTAAACTCAAGTTTTCTTCCGATTATACCTCTGGAAGGCACTTAGGATTCTAAAATAAAAAAAATTGTATACGTCACTATCATTGTAAGATATAAATAAATAATACTATAATTATTTACCTCGAATATATATGATAGCTGTACGGCAAGGAATGTAAATCATCATACGATTTGGATAATCAGAATATGGTTCTGGTGCAGTAAAATGTTGTACATTAGTATCAACTCGGTTTTCTCCACCAAACTTTGTATCATCGCTACATAAAAGAATTTTGTAAGTTCCTGCAGTTTTTACTCCTATAGTATAATCAGGAAATGACTTGACTGGATGAAAATTAAAAACAAATATAAGTTCTGCTCTGTCAAAAACAATAACTTTGTCCTCTTCATGTTTCCAACTTACATACCCCTGTAGAAGCACATATTGTTATCAATGAAAAGTTGATGTAATGTGCACAAATATTTTCAATAAGTATACTTAAACCTTACAGGTTGAGTATGTAGCCATCCATATTTTTCTTCAAGAGTATTTATAGCACAATCCCAATTGTTCATAAATTTGTATTTTAGTAATTCATCATCTACTAAATTCCATTGTCTTCTAGCATAATGGTAACTATCTGCGTTACCCGCGCGTGGAAAATCTAACCACTCAGGATGACCAAATTCATTACCTAAGAATTTATGTTTTTAAATTTACAATGAAAATATTAAAAATTTTAATAATAAATGTGTGAAATTTTAAAACTAACCCATAAAGTTTAAATAACCTTCTCCTCCTAATGCATGTGTGATTAATGTAATGAGATTATGAAGGGCAATTCCACGACTTATAATTGCATTAGGTGGACTGAATATACTCATATGAGTATACATTTCTTTATCCATAAGCCAAAATGCAATTGTTTTATCTCCTACAAGAGCTTGATCATGAGATTCTGAATAAGCTACTGTTTTTTCCATCCATCTTCGATTACTTAATGTCCAACAAATATCTCCAATTTTCCAATCTTCATCTTTTACTTCTTTTAAGAGTTTAATCCATTTATCAGGAATAGCCATAGCTAGTCGATAGTCAAATCCTAAACCACCTTCAGTAATTGGTCTAAAAGAAAAATAGTAATTAATTTATATTAAAAAGAAACATGTTTGATATATTTCAGTAATTCATTTAACATGACAATTTTTAAATATTTTATGTATTCAATACCTACAAACTCCAGGCATTCCACTAACATCCTCTGCTATTGTAATAATTTCTGGATACAAATAATGCAGCATATGATTTGCAAGCATTAAATATACTACACCTTCAACATCAACATTCAAACCATAATATTCTTCATAGTGACCACTAAAACCTTGTCCAGCTCCTCTTGAATGATACAACATTGAAGTAACACCATCAAATCTGTACAAATTTAATATAGGACATTACTTATATACAAAGTGAGTCTAATAACTGAGCTAGGCTACAGCTCTGTCCCAAATGAATTTAGAATAAAGTTAGAGTGCAAACGAAAATTTTACACTATCATTGGTGCACTTGCAACTACACCTTTTTCTAAATAGAACTGCATTTTTTTCAGATAGATAAATCCTTTGAAACATTTTGCATTAAAAATATTAGAATAAAATGTCAAAAAATTAATATGTTCCACCATTATAATCCAAGTACATTTTCATTCTTTTTGTAACATTTTTCATAATATTATTCAATTGTTCTGCACTCATACGCACTCAAATAGATATTGTTGATTCTTTTCCTCAAATTGTCTATTGAAATATATGCACCTTACTTTTTTAAAAAGCCCCACAGTACAAAATTCAGAGGATTTAAATTAACCGAACGCGGTGGTGGCCATAAAGCTGAATTCTTCATATATCATCTTCAGCATATAAAATCTACTGCATGAAATAATAACGGTGAAATTTAAAAAATTTTAAAATTCAAATAACTGAATTCTGACTGTTATTGATAAATATATAAATATCATATATTTATATATTTTACAGCACGAATTTCTATAACGCATCAAAGATATGGCGATTACGATTTTCATATAATGCGATAAATAATAAAACACAGGAATTACCTGCATTTAAAAATTAAATCTGCTTTAATTGTATATTGCATGCCATTTGTTTTTAAAATACCGTCCCAATTGATAAAACAGAAAATAAAAGTTGGCATAGTAATAATCATTTCAAACATGTTACTTTAGATTACACGCGTTATACGAGAAAAACTAACTTTTTTGTTATTTTATCCTAATATATTTTCATGCAGAATGTTCTAAAGAATCAATCCATCTGAAAAAAATATACTGTTCTATTTAGAAAAAGATGCAGTTGCAAATACACCAATACACTTGAGATAAAAGTCGTACTGTAAGATGATAAAGTCTATGAAATAGTATGAAATTTTTCTCTACAATCTTTTTTTAAATTTATCTGGTACAGAGCTATAACCCAGTGCAGTTCTCAGATTTACCCTATATAAAATTAAATCTTATTAAATCTTAGAGTATTTCATTAAATGGAAAATAAATACCTAAATCCATCAAAATTATATTCCTCGAGGTACCAACGTAAATTGGAAAGTAAAAATCGCAATACTTCATATTCTCCATAATTAAAGAGCCTACTATCCCAAAGTGGATGCTGACCACGATTACCAGTATGGAAGAAGCAAGCATCAGTACCATCAAACATATTTAATCCATCCAAAGTATTTTTTGATGCATGTGAATGCACTACATCCAATAAAACATACAATCCATGCTGATGTGCTGTATCTATTAACTGTTTTAACTCTTCTGGTGTACCATAACGAGATGAAGCAGCATAAAATGAAGTCACCTTATTAAATTTAATTAAATATATATTGTTATAAAATATAATATTTGAATATATTAAGCTTATTAACAAACCTTGCAAGATTATCCAGTATAGGTACACACCTGATATCCGAAACTTGCATAATAAGCATGTTCCATAATAGCCATTAATTGTATGGCATTATAGCCTTGTTTTACAATGCGAGGAATTGTGTTTTTTGCAAATTCTAGATATGAACCAACTTTTAATTCCTGAGTTGCAATACCAACATGACATTCATAAATTCTAAGACTTTCTGGTTTTTTTTGTTTATGGTACTTAAATTTATAAATCTGAATTAAGTGATAAAAATATATTATTTAATATACTTAAAATATATTACATAATATTATTAAAAATATATTACTTAATATTTACTGTAAAATAAAATTAATTGAAAATAATGTGTATATTTAAATAGTTATATAAAATAGATATTCATGATTATATATACATTTTCGGATGATGGGTGCCATATACGTTGTTTATATGTTGCACTTTCAGCTCGATTTTGTGTAACATACATAGCCCAAGGACTTAATCGTTCCAATAATTCATTGTTATGATCTTTCACAATTATTTTAACTTCTGAAAGGTGTTTTATGGGACAACTACCATCGGAATTAGGAGGTAAATGTAATTCCCATTTTCCATAATCTAATTTTTTATATGAATTAGCTGTCTTATTCCAACCATCTGGCAATAAAAATGTAAAACATCAGTTCATGTTTATTATTTTTAAGTAGTCTTATTTTCTTATCCTACATTATTATTATTTATCATGTGAAAGTTATAATTACAGTATGATCTGCTAAAGAAGAAGAACAATATATGACAGATACAGTATTTATTCGTTACAAAATTTGCAAACATATTTCATAATTTAACTACCTTTAAATTATTATATAATTTCATATTAATTATCTATTTCATTGTATAAATATAAAAGTATTATTAACCTTAAAATGATATTGTGAAGTAAAGAAACATACAAATTTTTGAAAATATTAGATAACATATAAAACATTTAAATTTCATTTGTTGTCATTTGTGATTCTACAATGTTACATATATTTAAAAAATATAAGTGTTGTCTTATGGTTAAAAAATATATTTTACCTAAGCGTTGCATTATCATGGCATTGAATTATCCACAACAAATATATAAACATTATACTACATGTTTTAATATAAGTGTAACAATATAATTAAATATACAGATGTTTAAAGAAACAGTTTTTCCTTATTAGTAATAAAAATTTTGTTTTTTGTAAACTAATATATAGTAATTACATTATTTATATGTAATTTAAAATAATTTTAATTTACTTACTAAAATCTCCTGTTAAAAATAATTCCTGTGCACCAGGTGCCCATTCCCTTGCAATAACACTATTATCTTCATTTATATGAATTCCAAAAACTTCATAGCCTCTTGAAAATTTATCTAAACTGCCATCACCAGCTTCTATCTTTTCCACATAATCTTTAAATAATGCATACCTAATAAAAAATGATTATAAAATTTCTTACAAATTTGTATGCCATCTTAGTGTTACTTTACATTATAATTATAATCCCGAATTATTCTATTTAAAAAGGGACATTTAGGTAATTATAGGCTATATTATTCGTTGAACAAGATTTTTAATTATTTTTCAAAATTAAAAATTATATTTTGAATTGTAGCGTGTTTAAAAAAGACAGTTATATATACTTAAAGATGTAATACCTTTTACGAATTTCATTTTCATAAGGTTTTAAATATGGATCTCTTTCTAATAAAGTATTTATCTCTGGAACTTCAATTTCAGAAGGATCCATGCTTGACCATTTTCCACCCATATTTATTTTTTTAATATTTCCACTAATAAATAAAGAACGACAGAACTAAAATAGAATAAAACACTTCACTCAAATTCAAATAACACTTCAAGGTGACCTTCGATAATTCTATCGACCAACTATCATTACCGACTACTGTCTAAAAAGAACAAACTTTAACAAAATGCAATGAAATAATATTTTAAGAGTGGAAGCTTTATTACCTAATAGTGTCCCTAATATGGCGAATAATTTAATATAATATAATTGGCGCTAGTTTTAAATTCCTGTCTGATTTTTCATACGCATTATCAGATATGAACCATTTTTTTTTTCTTAATCTAACATTTTATATGACAATAACATCTATTATTATGTTTAATTATTGTAAAAAATGATATTAACCTTACTAACTCAAATTATATTATGAAAATAACAATTAATGTGCAATTTAAAAAGAGGAGAAATAGAAATATGTTACTTTATTACATTGAAATTGAATAATATTACTAAAAATGTATTTATTTACAAATATTTTGTTTTGCTTGTCATATAAATAAATTAGTACATATATATTTTCTAAATTTTTATTCATAGTACTTTGATAACTTTTATAGTCTAAATATCAATGTACATATTTAAGGGCAAATTTGAGAATACATTTATTTCTATATAAGAAATACTAATATTAGAACAATTAAATTAATTAAATATTAGCAGTAAACTGTAATAGGGGAGGTTAATTAAAGAAAAAAGATTAAACTCATTAAAAATATTATTATTAATTTTTTAATTTAAAGAATTTTAAAACATCATTTGACATTTTTAAAGTATATGAGAATAAATAAACATTGTTAAACATAATGAAATACTAAACTTTGGGAAGATTTAGAAATTGCAGATATTGAATGTTTTTAAACTTTGGTCCATCATTTGTTTGGCTAAATAATCAAAATTTACTTAAAAGAAAAAATATGATTTCCTAAGTTGTTAAATAAAATATATATAAATAAATGGTATAATTAATAATAAAAAGATTAATTCACAATTCTCAATGTTCGCTCTTCCACACATAACAATACTAAAAGTAATGAATGACTGTTTAATGTATGAAACAATAGAATGTGTTTTTTTCCTACTAGAATTCTAAATTACTAAAAAATATTATTAATTAAAGAACGTGAATGCTTTAGAGGCCAATGACCTTTTTAATAACTTTATCAAAGTTAAGGTGTTTAATTATCATACTACGATAAATGCAAGGATTTATTAAATTCGCTGAAATCAATTAGCGCCTGGCTAAATATTTGAGTTCTTGCCTTTTACTGTTACAATAATCTTTTTCTAGAAAGTTGTTTGTTAGTGAATTCTTTGTCTGGAATTTTGTTTGGTAATATAATTCATAGAATTATTTAATGGAGTACTATCCATAGAGGTATCTGAAATATCTTCACTACTGCTGCTACGAATATCACCCTCCATCTAAAAATTTGCACGTGTAAATTTAGATCAAATGACAGTTTACAATTATATTTAATACACATATTGTTAAAATGTATATAACTTACTTGACCAGCATAAAAAGCATTATATGCAATTTTAAGAATCAAATATGTCCAAATCATATGAAGAAATAGCAATAAAATTAGTAAGGAGTTGAAAATATAATATGCTGGGAACATAGGCACTATCTTAGGTGCCTCTATTGATGTACTGTAATATTTAATATAATGTATTTAATACAATAATATAAATAATTTTTAATTGTACTAGAATGTATTAAAAATTAAAATGAATAGAACATACCTATAAATTATCCAAAATGGATAAACACCAATACGTGTAATAATCCACAGTATTGTGAAAATAACAAATATACAATCACATAATTTCTGGTAGCTTGCATATTTAGCCATTTTTGCAGCCTAAATTATACATAATTTATACTCATATATCAAATTCTATATTACATATTATTAGTTTTAATATGCATTGCTGTGTATGACTACTTGTACTTACTTCTAGAAAAATATCTGCGGAGTCATGTATTAATAATACTAATGAACCAATCCTAGTTAAATTTCCAACCCATGAAAAACACATTAATACAATAGTAGCTATATGATGAATAAACATTTGCCAAAAATCTTTTCTTTTCACATCAAAAAATTGAGAAAAACTTAGAGACCAGTAAAATGTCATGGATATCATATAGTACCACCACACATCATTTGAAACTGGATGATATGGATAGTCATAATAACAGTAATTTATATCCCATAACCATGGCTTGTCCCATAAAATCACAAGTCCATATAGAAATGAATATGTATAATATAAACATCGCCAGCTGTAACAAAATAATTTTGTACTAAACATTGCAAAATTTATTTTCCTGAATTTTTAATTTCTACATAAATGAAATTGAAAAATTGATCTTTTTATATTTCACAAAGAAAAGCTAACCTGTTTTCACAAAATTTTGTAAGCGTTGATGGCTTATCTTGAGTACGTCTTAATCGCAACCATCTTTCAACTTGTCGTTCAGACCAATCTAATTGTTTAGCCAGTGCCAGGATCTTAAAATACATCCATATATTACAAATACATCCATAACAATTGCTCAGTTACTTTGACATAGATTATTTTTCAAGAACCTAATATCGAACACATTTAAAATTGAATGAATCTTTCATATATGTAATGCATTATTATTGTTTTATATTATAGTATATTACAATTCAATATAAAATTAATCTAATATAATTTATTGTACAATTTATTGTACAACAACATAACATCCATTAATCCAAATATTTATCATTATTTCTATAATAAAGTACACAAATAAAGGAATTGAAACAATTAATATTTTTTTATTTCCTAAAATTTTATTAATAATGTACTAAGAAAAAATAAGATGATATAAACTTACTTGTTTATGTTTAATTTTTTTACTAGCATAGGCTTTTTCTAATATTTCATTTGGTATAGCTTTTTTTGTTCTCGTATTTTTTATACCAAGAGATCTACCAATAGGCGCAAAACAGTACCTTTAAAAAAAATAAAACATATAATTTTAATTAATTTAATTGACATTTCATATGTAAGAATTTAGAATAATTTTTATATAATATCATGTGACATTTGTATATATATATATGTGTATATATATATATAAACTATGTAATAAGCTAAGAGAATATCAAACATGTATTTATCATGATCTAGCTTATACTGAATATTTAAATAGATATTTAAAAAATGAAATTTGAATAATAGAATGTCTCGAATGATGTAAAATATGAATATTTACTTAAATACGGTATAACCTCAGTTTAATCACAAATTTTGTAACGATTTCGCGATATCAGTCAAACAATATATTAAAGTAATTACCTTTCTAGGGCATATCTGATTATTAAAAGAATAAATGCCATGGGTAAAGGATAAATTAAATGTTGATAGTCTGCATATTTATTCTCTGAATTTGGTTCAATATCATCCCACGTTATATTAGGCGGTAACCAAACATCAGTGGACCAAAAAGCCGACGATACATTCTTTAATATATCCATTATTTTAATTCCTGTAATTAGTAATCTGTGACATAATCCTATTAAATATCTGCTAAAAAAATATGATTAAACCAAAGTTGTTAAACAAATACCTTTTTAAACAGCTTTAATAAAGCAAACTTCAACTACCTTCCTGTGCTTACTCGTCACCGCTCGAAGACTGAGCCTGTAGCATTAATACACGTAACTCGGTTTTTGTTTCGATTCTTATTTCTATTCTTGTTTTCAAATAAAGAAATAACTTATCATTAGCTCTTTTGCTAAGTTCTTATTTAAGATCAATTATTCTTTGTACAATTAATATCCACTGTAATTATACAATCGTTATTTACGTATACCAAATGCACATTAGATGCGTGTGTAATCATTCTGATAACTAACATTTCATGGATAACCTCGCTTTTAATCTCGGTTAAGAAATGTTGCGAATATAAATTATGGAAAATATTAAAATTCCTTTTAAAAATGATTAAATAATTAAAATTATGATATATTTCAATAAATTATTATGTTTTAGATAAATTTTTTATTTATATTACGATCTATGTCGATATAATAAGTAGTATTTATAAAATTTTGTAAATAAGATTTTACAAATTTTTGTTTAATATTTATAGTTGAATCAACCATTTACATAGTCTATTACTAATATAAAAGAATAACCAAATTATGTGTTTCCAAATTTCAATTATAGTTTTTTATATTTTCAATTATAGTGCATTTTATATTGATCTATTGCTCATAGAAAAAATATTTCTTATAGTATAAGAAGTGTTAATGTAATGTTACATAATTCACAGATTAAAGAATCTTTTTATATTAAAGAAATAATGATGTGCAATTTCTATATCTTTTACTGTAATTTTTAAAATAGTGAATTTAATTGTATTTTATTAAATTGTATACTATATTTATAATATGGAAAATATTTTAAATTGATAGCCAATAATTTATTGAGGATTTCCTCATTCTTTATACCAATTTTTTTATTTCTTGTTTTAAATGAAAGCACATTGTAGATATTAAAGTAAATTAAAATAAGGTGTAACATTGAAATTTACCTTCATAAATGTATTGTAGTATTCAGTGATATTCTCACCACATTATCAAATTAAATATATATTTTGTCCTACTAAAAGTACATTTTGATCTTGAATATATTTAAAATTGGCAGACTTGTAAATAAATGACTCATAATGTAATTTTAATCTCATTAGTATTCTATATATTAATAATAATTGTTCGCTGTAATATTTTCAAGTACGATTAATTAATTATAATTAGCTACAATTTATTATATACTTGTTTATGTGAAATTTCTATATTAATTGGAAATCTAAGGTTAATTCTAATTGTTAAATAGCTACTGCTTCTTTTAGTTCTTGATTGTCAATTGATAATGTTATTACTACACAGTTTATGATATAATCCTTGAAAATTTAAATCTATTAGTCTGAGACTATTTTTATAATTTATTTAGCATTTTTTGTAAGTGGAATATAGGTATTTTCTTTTATATAATATGAATACATCATCTGTAATCATGAGTTCATTGACTAAACTGGAAATATTAATTACAATATCATATTATCAACTAAAAGTAGAGGTAAATTTAAAACTGAACTTTTAGATATATTATTTTCAAACAATTTTTGCAAAATGACTGTACAATAATTACAAAAAGAGTTATTTGCTTTAATTCGAATAAGTGTTTGATAAAATTACAGTTGTTGATAAAATAAAAAATGTTATCTTTGAGATAATTTTATAGGATTGGTAGTATTTCTCGTTATTTCGTCGTAGAATTTTATTAATTACATGATCGTAAGTACGACATATCGTGTTTCGCCTTACATAAAATTTAAGTAATTATATATTTCATATTAATATTTTATTGTATATTATCAAACAAATGTGGTAAAATTTTGATAGAAGAATAGATTTATATTCTTTACATGGATATCTATATTTTCTATGTATAATAATAAAATTTCTTCTTATTCAATTTTCAAAATAAAACAGTATAGTCATTATTATTAGTATGACATTATTGTTATTACATTCTCATTATTCACAGAATTATGATTATGTAACCTTTTATATCTTGTATTTTATGTAGGCACGTATTTCCATTTAATTCCTATTTGTTTATAAATATAAAAACAATCTTTTACAGTAAATAGTAATAAATATACCTCTTACATCAGTAACGACATTAGTAAACGAATAGTACAGCTATTTTGCATATCCTTAAAAATTTATTTTATTCCTACATTAAAAGCAATCTTTCTGAATACTGATTTTTGTTATCGAAAAATATTAATGTGCGCATTTTCGATTAATAGGATATCGTTTTAATAAACGTTTAATTACACGTTGATAGATACGAGCATTTCTTCTTTCATGAGGTTTTAAAAATTCTTGTTTTACTACATCAATTTTTATTGTTTTTCGTTTAATACCTGGTGTATGGACTAAAAAGGCACCATCAAGTATAACTAGTCGATAGTTCAAAAGACACATCTCGAACATCTATAAAAAATTTTGACATAATTAACATGATACATATGTTAGATATTTGTTAAAAAATTGATTTTATGAATATATTATCATTGTTATGAAAATATTTATCGAAGAGATTCTCAAGTAAAATTTTTTTATGATTAATTATTAAAAAGAATAGGTTATTACGAATGTAATGTGTTATATATTTTAAGAATACTAATAATTCAAAACGTACGAATATATGAGAATACAGCAGGAGAAAATATTTGTGATTAAATAGAAATTTATAAAATAATTAGATTAAGGAAAATAGGTCGTGACAATGAAAATTCAAATATCTATAAAACTTTATACGTATATAATTCTCGTTATGATTTAATTTGTTTCATAAATTTATCAATGAATACGTGCAATATATACCTGACTCATTTTATCTTGTCTACCTTCCCAAGACATCTCTTCAGCATAAAAGGGATCATTTTGCGTTCCTATGAATACAGGTTCCCATCTATGATGTGGGTATTCTCTTTTCGTAATAATAAGCGGTTTGACCTTACCCGGGTCGGGTCTAATTAACCATCTAGTGAGCCCAGGAAACCTTTGGCAATGCGAACAAAGGAATCTGTAGAAAAAGAAAGTTATGTAAAATTATTTCCGTATAATGATGTTTGTTTATACAAACCTATGAAAATATACAGCTACACCGGCTTTCGTTGCTAAAAGCAATTCCTTTTTCGTCAAAGGCGGCAGCTCATTTGATTCTATTTCAAATACTGGTACTACAAAAACAATTCCAGTTTTTGGTGGTCTTCCATGAGCAATTTCCATAAAACCGGATGCTAAGTTTTGACTAGGTAACAATTCGATGTCCGTTACTAGAACGCGAGTAGTATTTGCTTGAAATCTGGCCACATTTCTAGCCACATTGATAGGATAGGTCATGCGTCTTTGTTTTCTTTCTGTTTCTACATTTCCGTTTTGAAGGTCAGACGCGGCACAATCACCTTGAACTCGAGTTATTTGTCCTAAAAGTGGCGGATAGCCAGTTGGAAATATCAAATGAACGGAAACCTGTAAAAGAAAACGTTTTATAATTATAACATATCATATGTACTTAATAATTCTATATTTATGCTTTAAGTACAACTCTATTTACTACTTTGCCGAAATATATATCAAATAGCTAATTTTTAATTCTATGTTGAATTAATTTTCGCAAAACATAATCAATAATATCTGTGATCATTGCAACAGAAAATTATCGCGTTATGTTAATTTCTTTCAGTTTAATAGATTTTTGTGAGTCACAATTGTCATCATGTCGTATAGTAAAATGGCGGAGAATAATAAAATTGTGTTAGTTGCAATGAGGAATATGCATGCGGTATATGTACAATGTTTAAGTTTAGTCGTACTGCTAGCGACCCGTTTTGAGAGCGGAGTGCATAGGGAAACCTTGTACATTTCAGGTTCGCATCGACAGGCCCGATCGAGGAGAGCAACGGCGACACCAGCGTCGAGGCCAGGCGTGAAAATGGCCAGACTTAATGGGCCTTCCCATCTCCGAGCTAATTCCACGATTCCATAGACCTGATCTGCAGTGGCGTGTGTGCAGAGGGTCACCTGAGGCAGCTTGTTCCTCTCCTCGGTTCCGCGCAATACGAACGGTAGAACTCTGTAGGGACTCTTCTCACCGATTTCAGGGGTCCAGGTGATTTTCGATGCCGGGTACGAAAGAACATTCGGCAGGCCATGGTACCATTTGCAAAAGCTTTTGTTCCTGGTTTGTAGACCCGCCATGTATATGCCTGCTGCATAAGCAAGTGCTCCAGTCTGAACTTCTTGCTGAGAACTCGAATAACTCTTTGGTATTAGGATATCGTTGGTACCGATTATCACTACTGGTACATAAAATACACGATTGACTATGAGACGACCAATCAGAATGAAAAGGAACGTTAAACTCAACCAAATTAGGAACTTTCGACCAGAGAAACGCATTATTGAGAAAGAAACAATTTTCCATGTTATAAACGTGATAAATTCATCGAAGTGGTATGTACTTGGGCACTGCTGTTCCCTTTCTGGAAAGACGAGACCGTCAATTTTGGATCGATACAGCGCAGGCGTGCCTACCTTCGATATAGTTCGTCAGAATTTAAACTTATGAAAATAAAAACTTCAATTTGAATTAGCAGAACAATGAAATCTAAATTTTTAGTAACTATTAACTTAATAGGTTGAATCGAAAAACTAACCTATTTTTTTCCATTTGTTGTGTAATAAGGAAATATAAAATTTGTGAAGCTATTAACTATACAACGTATAACGTAATTATATACGCGGTATCGTATAATAAATATAAAATGTGAAATTTCTACGCATAACTCTAATTCGAGGTAGTATCTATAAATTACAAATCAAAGTGTGATTTACTGATTAACCTATTCAAATGTATGTACGATAGACATATTTAGTATTCGTATTTATGATGTAGTTAGCGTTATCAACAAAACATTGTTATCGCAATATATCCGTTTTATTGTGTAACCAAACCTAGAGTAATTTTTGGAAAATAATAATATACAAAATAATTGTTTTTACTTTTCAATTCGATAAGAAGATAGAATTATTAAAGTTTAAGAATCTTTCACGATTCTTATCTAAAAAAAATTATGGAAATACGAACTTGCAATTAGTGATGTTATGTACCTACCTTATCGTACATAAAATAATCATAGATTAAATAGTAATATGTTTTACATAACAGAATGTATTATCTTACATTGAAATAAGACCTACGTTATTTTTAAATTCCTGTAGATTTGAAAATTTATATTTTTAAATTGAAACTAACTTATTATTCTTATTTTACTTTACCATTATTAAATTATTTCTTAAGGACAAACAATTACTTGAAATAATCCAAAGAAATGGAAAATATTGACATTTTTGAATTAAGTAAAATTTGCTTTATCACTTCAGGTTTTATAAATACGCTTAAATTATATATTATAAATTATAAATCGTAAATTATAAACTACAAATCATAAATTAGAAATTAGAAATTAGAAATTAGAAAGTAGAAATCATAAATTAGAAATTAGAAATTGTAAATTATAAGTCAATATATAATAGTAATTATACAAGTTTATATATTATTTTCATATCTATATATTATTAATTATATAAATTATATAATACGTTTAAAAACTTAGTATCGTTTCATCATTGCTATTCAGGTAACGTACGTCCTTAAATTTAACCCGGGTTATTCGTGAATCATTGGGTTAGCACCTGACAGCGTTCAACCGAAGGTATGACACACCTAACGGAAGAAAGTGATGAGTTTCGACTTGTAATGAAATGTGCTTAATATCTTCGTGATCGATCCCAAGGTTGTGTTCTAATTTTAGTTGCTACCGATAGAAAACCGTTTACGGTACTACACCTTTCCCAGTAGCATGCAATGCGCCAAATCTACGAAATTCATTCCTACTGGAGCCAGTAGTTCCTAAATTGCTCGGAGGAATACATGGATCGTTCTGTTCCCCAAATATCCGTAATTCTAAAGTTCAACTTTACACTGCTGCTTCTATTCCTTCATTTGTGATGTGTCAAATGCGTTTGTCACGTGTATAGTATCGATGCTGAACTATCGATGAGTTGACTTTTGTTCGATGATCATACACGTCTATAGTATACTGTATTTGTAGAAGACACGATTATTGGATGGTAAATATCATATGAATGTTACCGTCACCGTTGACCTCTAAACACCGGTTATCTGTTTCTTGTAGTTTTTATCGCACTGGTCCTTTGTTGAGTTTTATATAATTTAAGATTATATTTTCGAAAATAAACTTGGAATATAAACACATGATAAACATTTTCGAGAATAATACGTTTCGAATTTTTCTCTGATTTGTTAGTATCGAAAGTGATAAAAAGTTTGCATTTGACCTACATTCAAACTTTATCAACTTGTTTTAACAAGTATTCTTCGAACACAGAACAAAAGTCAGTCGGTTATGTCTTTACACTTACATGCATTTATCAAAGAATATTTACACTTACATGCATATACATGCATTTTTATCAAAGAATAATTACATATATCTATATCTATTTAAATAAATATTACAATAATATAATAGAAAACCATATAATAGAAATATGTAGGTATTACAAACATAATTAGTAACAAATAATTAGCAATAAATTAATCAAGAATATTTTCAATTTATTGTAGACGAAATTTATTTAATTCACGCACTTGGTAATTAATAAATAATTAGGTAGAAACACATTTTAATTAATTTCGTATGTGTAATACTTTAATTAATATTCGCATTCTAATTACTTTTGTCCATATATTAATCTAATTAATAAAAACATTCCAAAATATTAACCTTTGCACGAAAAAAATCGAAAATAAGATAATTTAACATTTAAATCAACGTAAGTTTCATATATTCATATTTTATATATATTCTTTTATTCAATTTGTTTTATATATATGCATATATCGATCGTACATAATAAATATTAGTAGATACAAAGTTAATTGGATATTAATTAGATTATTAGATTAGTTAATCTAAATAGATAAGAATTATGATTTTGAAAAAGTTATTTTATTTTCAGAGATTTCCTTTTTCTAAAGATGCTTGAATGCAATTTATTTATTATTTATTTGTTGAAAGTATCAAGACAATTAGAAAGACAATTTGATGACGCAAATTTTGTATTAACGAAGCTTGAGTAAGCTTAAGCTGAAAATAAACCAGTAATGTGATTGGGAGTTGAAACTAAAATTAAACATGCATTGATGACTATTATTAGTTTTATACATTACGACTCGTGCTAATGAATATTGTTCAATTTTTAAAAACTGGGTTTCTTCCATACATCGTATTTTATCTATAATATCAAAACAAGAGAAAGAAACAGCAAAATTTAAATAAAATTTTTGAAACTTTAAACGAAAGATACTAGAAATATTATTGAAATGAATAGATAATGATTAGAAAAAAGAAAATGGAAACAGATGTATAATAAATAGATGTAGAGTATATTTCTTCTGTTGGCAAAGAAATTTCGGTTATTAACTGAAATTTTAATTGCACAATATATCACGAAGTAAAGATAAACTTTCGTGAAAAAGATTGCTTGGTTCGAAAGGAAATGAGATTTGTAGCGTGAAGTTTCTAAACGAGAAAGGATATTTATATTCTTGCGTTTTGAAATTTTAGATTTTTATACATAAATCTATCAATTTTGTTAATTAATAAATAAACGAAATATAAATATAAATAAGTTAAAAGAACCAAACATTTTTACACATTTAAAAACATTTTTAATTATATATTCATCGATATCCTGCTTTAATTCTTGCATATAGCTTTTATTAATTACCAATGACGTATTTAGTAGAAAACGAGCCTTTTTTAACAATTATATTAACTTTCGTTGATCTTCTTATTCATTGTTTCTTTCATCATCCATGTATCGTTTAATTTAATAATAACGCTTCTATTTGCTGACCAAAAGCAATTTTTTGAACACTAAATAATTTCCTAATTTAAACATAAGAAAATAAATAAATATGTAAAGATATATAAAAATATGTATCTAATTATTTTGCTATCTTGTAACGAGTAAATCAGTTTGATTTGTTTTAGATAAAATTAAGGCGACTATTATTTACATTTAAAAATAATGAAAATTTGTTTTAATTATTTCAGATGTTGGTGTTGCCACAAATTGTAAATGGGCTGGAAACTTGACAAGTATCAACAAGCTGACAAGTATTTCAATGTTGCGTACATTAGTAACATTTTAATTCCATTATAATATATATGAAATAAAGAAAAAGAAGATAATAAATGAAATAGTTAATAAACGGATAAACTATATTTCACGTATTCTTCGGAGATAACACGATGACAATAGAACAAAATGATATCTATTATGAAATGTTAAATTTTATACCTTGGAATTCATTTTCAACCGAAATTTCAACCTTTCAAATATAATCAAAACTCGACAAGATAATATGAGAATATCCATATTTCATCGTTACCGGATTTAAATGAATTAAAAACAAAATGTCAGTATTAAGCTATTTCTTCTCGTACATTTGCATGATTTTGTCAGTAACTCAAATCTCTGCTTATTTTTCAAATTCGATCTTGTTAAGATGGAAAATGTGAAAAATGGAGAAATGGACACGATTGGACTACTAAAAAATAGAAAGAAAGCCAGAGAAGAAAAGAAATGTTTTCATTGTCCTTGTAAATCGATGCAAAAGTAACGAAGGAATAGGTTGAAGAAAGAAATCACTGCTGGTGATCGTAATTCATAATCAAGGGAACCTTGACCTTCGACAATGGACGTGCCCCTTTTCCCAGCACCACCAACCCTCGGGGGTGTAGCGACGCCTGTTAGTGATGTGATAGACGTTGCGAAGTTGACACCTGTTTTACTGTCCGCTGTTGCATGCGCTCGTAAACAACATGTCGGAACGAAAATGCACAGAGCAATCGGGATCAACAAGCTACGACATCCCAGTCATAGGAACTTAGTATACCCCAAATCGAAGGAACATCGTGTTACCGAATTTCACATAACGATGACGAAACAGCAAAGAAGTAACGAGAATGAAGACGATGACGATGTAGTTTATGCCATTGGTATGTGTAATTTTTAGAATATAAGTTTAATTAACGTTACAATTAACTGAACTAATTTCGCGTATTTTATATTTACTATTACTAAAACAGGCAGTTGCTTCTTATAAAACTAATATCGGCTTTTGTTCATATTTATTTGTAATATTACATTTGTATTATTAGTTGTGCTATTTAGATATTATGTATGTATTGTTTATATGTTATTTATGTTATTTACACTGTTATCTTTATATAATTATTTATGCATATTGTTTGTATTTATATTAATTCATCCTTATTTCTTATTATCCTATACCACTTTATTATTATCATCTATATTCATTGTCAGTATATTTAGCTACATATTACAAGCTAATAATAGTAGTGCTAAATTTTAATATCTATGCAGCAAAGGTTTGTTAAAATTATTTAATTGCAATTTCATTAATACACGAACAAGTATTTTCCTATAATGAATATCTTGTTTTAGAAGTTAAAGTATGGAAGTTGCGTAGAATTATACGTGGACTTTATTCATATTTAGCATATTGACTTTTCATCGTTCTACCATGATAAGTCAGTTTCTCGTAAATAATATTATATCTTATCGCAAAATGTTTATTTTTCGTTTACTGTTCCATTAATATGAGCACATTCACGTTCACCTACTACTATTTCTAAACAATAGTAAAAGTACCGTATATATGTTCAGCGCAGTGTTGATTGATTAGATAATAATAGGGAGAGCCTAGTTACATTCTACCTAACTTTAAAATATTTTTAAACATTTTTATAATTAGTGACATGAATTTCATTTCTATTACCTCGCCCAAAAGATTTTACATACTATACTACTTTAATACTATACAGTAAATATAAGTATACCTGTATTAGTAGTTGGTTATACATTCTGTTTAATTCTAGAATATTTTTAAACTTCCCTATAATTAGTGACATAAATGACGGCTCCATTCTATTGCTCTTAGGACTTTGTGTAACATAATATGTTACTACGATACTACACAGTGTATAAAATCGTAAATGTATTAGTGGTTGCATGTATATTCTACTTACTTCTAGGACCTTTCTAAATTTCCCTATAATTAATGACATGAATGTCATTTCTACTTTTCCGTCGTCAAGTTCGTTTATATAATATTACATTATAGTAATACTATAGTTCTGTATCATAGTGAAGTATACGTATATGTTTGATGATTATATTAGTGACTGGTTGTATATTCTATTCCTGGTTTCATTAATAATAACGCGTTAAGAAGAACAGAATCAATACGTAAGGAAAAACTGAATGTAGGACGGCGGAGCACGTTTCACAGTTTAAAATTGGTAGTCAAGCAAAAGTTAAGATTCTCGAAAGCTAAACGAAGTTCAAATCGTGCATATTTTATACATTGTTATGTAAGTTATGGAAACATACCCGAAGCTGCAGGGAAAACAGCGATATATAATACGAACAAATTAACACTAGAACTATCGAAGTCAAAATGACTGATCTTAGATTTTTGGAATCATGAAAAACATGTATTAATAAAAAAATTTTATTAAAATTAATATTGGCTCATATCGATATCGAAATGTAAGTATATATATTTATTTATCTTCGTTGCATTACTGTTATCTATGTAAATTATGTTCAAGTACACGTTAAAGTTGATAAATTTAGCGTTATAATAAGTATATATTTTTCATTTTATTTTGTTCACACTATATGTTCTTTTATTTCATTTTGCTAAAGACGCGTTAAACTAGTCAAGTTTTAATGTTCAATAAGTTCTAGTAAGAACTGACATAAGGAATAAAAGACTTCTAAAGTATATTATACCTGTGATTATGAAAGCAGCCTAAGTCACGCCTGTCTAGTTCCGAAATATTAAAAGTTTCGCTCTTCGAATAAATTATAACAAAGCTACGAACACGATCTAACGATTTAATTTGTCGTTATTTTGTAAAGAACAGTTTTATTTTATTGTAATATGAACAAATACAATACAAAATAGGGGATACAATCATTTTTCTCAGATTTTTTACTCACAAGCGTTAGACCACTTTCATAATTACCGCCAAATGTGATAAATACATTTCTTATATTTTCTTTTCCTCTTTTGTTTCATTAAATCAAAACCTTAAACCAAAATTATTTTGGAAATTACATTTTAAAGGTCGGGAGACGATAAGGTGCATTAAAAGTATAGTAATAATTTAATTTATTATTCTTAGATACACCTACGACATTTTCCGAAGAAATTTCTCCACGATGCAAAGCATCCGAAAATTTCAAGAAATCAACAAAATCGATCGCCATTCAGACGATAGTTGGATTACCATTGCGACTCCGAGTTTTGCCATCCGTTAAAGACACTATTGAAGAAAAAGATGTAACAACGAACGCGAAAGGATTTTGTAAAGTATGGAAGCACATTAGGTTTCTAGGAAGATTATCACTCTCGTTATTCGGTAAAAACCAGTTAACATTATTTCTTTCGTTTATGTTATTTACAATTTATCGCTAAGGGTAGTTTGAGGCCTAATTTTTAAATTCTTGAATACAAAATATCGTAAGATTTTAGAACTTTCGGAATTCGAAATTGAAAAAATATTTCGTTTTTTAGCTGTAAAATTCGCTAGAGATTTCTGGCTTTTATACTAGATGATGCTATAATAGGTAATAAAATAATAAAATTTGGAAAAATTGTCTTAAGTACTTGCACATCATATGAGTCATTGATCAGTCAAAATAATTAACTCCATTTTTCGAATTTTCTAAGATTGTAACACCAAAGCATTGGATCGATGATTCAATTTCTTCTATCTAATATAAAATTCTATTTTTAATTTTCCGAAGTGAATTAACTTGACAAATGAGTGACTCATATCTCCGCGATCAGTATTTTCACGATCACGATCGATCGCCAATCTGTTTCTATCCTTAGAAATAAAAATTAATCTCTGAGTATTTATAAAGTATTTCTCATATTACGTATATTTTGGATATTCGTGAATCGAGAATTCTCACTGGAAATTATTCTTTATTCGTCAACTTAATATTTTTTCTTATCTGGATTTCAAGATTTAAATCACAAATTCCAAACTTTCGAACTTTCTGGTTTTGATGACTCGAGAAACTCACGCTTAGTGATTACTATTAACACCAAATCTACCACAATCTGCCAAATGTCTCAATTTGTGGTCGATGAAGGCCACACAGGCTGTTCGCGTTATTACTTGTTAACATTTTTCTAGTAAACAGTCTTTCATACTGTCAGAGAACATTAATTTTCTATATTTATAATATTTTTTTAAAAATGGAGGTGACTTTTAATTTTTTAAATGGAATGCGATACACGATATTTTGTTATAAGATTTGAATACGCAAGTTGAAACATATTCATGCATGTATTTCTATGTTATACAAGGTCAGAAATGAATGAAATATTTTAAATTTTTCTTAGCTTATGTTCACGACTGTTTCTTAATTTCAATTACAAGTTAATGCATTGCGAATGATTACGTATACGCTCGTTCTTTTATGTAATATTTCAGTGGAATGCACTGATAAAATCTTAAAGCACTTATCTTTACGCCTTTTAAGTAGCGTACAGTATTAGAATTATAAAAGAACGATTTTTATAATTGGTTTGTTATAAATAATAGCAATTTTTACAAAAAATTCGTGAACCGACGAATTGAACTTCAATAATAATATCTCAAGCAATAATCATAATGCACACATATGGTATACCGAAAACTTTGTTAATAATCTTGTTGATAAAGAATTCTTATGAATATAATGCTTTCATTTTTAACTTTGCATGATCTTGGAGGTCATTGTACGGTACATGGATGAATTCGTTGCAACGTATATTTTCATAAGTCATAAAAAATATATCATATTCATTCTTAGAAAAATATTGTAAATGTAAAAAGTTCTCTTTCATTTTTCCTAATTTTACTATTTACGAGAAAAACTAGTAATAGCACAAATATTCTATATATGAATTTTAGGACAAAGCTGATAAGAAAAAAAGGAAATATTGAAAAATTGAATACACGTACATAATGAGAAAAGTGAAATCGAATGACAAAAGCGATGACATTGAATTTTTAATCAGAGATTTAAAAACGGTCGTTTAAGCCATGGGCAGCATTTTGAAAATAAGTTTCGCGTATGCTATATTTACACAAAAGAAAGGAAAAAAATAATTTATACTGTGGTAAAACATTATATTAACACAGAATTTCAATGTTTCAGTAATTCTGATGTTTTGGGGATAGAAGTATTCTAATTTTAGTAATTCAATTTTACTTACTTTTATTCAAAAAATTATGGTTTACATGTTGCAGGACTGTTGTGGTTGCTTACCATTTGGGCTATCGTCGGTGCAGTGGCCTTCTGTGCCATTGAAGGGCCACGAGAACGCGAGCAAGTTGTGAAATTGAAGAATATGCAGAAAGATCTAGCGGTTGGCTTAGCGACAGAATTAAGACAATTGCGTACAGAAAAAGAGGAAGACGTAGAGCCACTTTGGAGTAACAAAGTGCATGTATATGTGGCCAAACATGAAGAATTATTATTGATGGCAATCAATTCTGGATATGGTGAAAGTGGAAATAGTGGACAACTGTGGACGTTTCCTGGTTGCATCTTATTCTCTCTTTCGCTTCTCACTACCCTTGGTAATTTAGATATATTTCTCTGTTAATTATTCTTAACACGTTGACTGCCATGGGGGTCACCGGTGACCGGCACTCAACTTGGCGGTGGCGCCACGGGGGCCACCGGTGACCGGCGACGCGACCATTAGTAAAAATACATAATTAGAGTAAATATCGATACTGATAAATTTTTAAATAGTACCATTGTTACTATAATGGTTCGAAGAAATTAATGCCATACAGAACATGCAAAAATAATTTTATTTATACAAAGAGAAGGTGAACCAAAACAGTCGGCACAATATGTCGCCACTTTTTTAGTGCAATTCTTTGCTCTCATTCTTCCTAGCTGATTTGAATTAATTTCATAGCACACTTTCCAAAATCGCCTTACATTTCGCACACTTCCAGGTTTCTTTTTAAATTCGTGACGACGTTTTTTCTGTACGTAATTGCTCGATGAAATGCAATCTTCGTCATCGGAACGTTTCACTAAATACATCGCTAACTTCATCCTAAAATCGGGAATTGAAATATTTTTTCGAGTTGCTTTTTAAACAATTGATAATGGCAAAAATGGTCTACAGCGTCTCGGGGGTCACCGGGGTACCCTCACCACGAAAAATACATTAAACGCGATTATACAACTCACCTTATCTGTTGTAAATAATATTTCAACATAATATGCATCGCATAATAAAATATTCGTGTTGGCGCCATGGGCAAATCACGTAAAATGCGCGTGGTAATCAACGTATTAAATCTAAACAGTATTACAATAAACATAAATAAATAGAATTTACTAAAGTCTTTACATGCTTAAAAACACTTGTCTATACGTATTACAATAATCTCTTATAGTTAGTAATACATAATACATACAATCTATTAATTTCATTACATTTGTATTTTTTTAATTTATTCTTATATTTTTACGTTTTGTTACTATTACTATTACTACTACTATTGCTATTACTGTTATTATTATTAATATTATCATTATTTCTATAATTATTATTATTTATTACTATTATTGCTATTATTATTAATATAATCGATTATACTAACATATCAATAAAATTAATTATTAAAATTATATTAATATGATTATTGTTATTACATTTATAATTATATCACTAAAATAATAATTGTAATTATATTTTTATTCATTTTTAAGGATACCCATTATATGCGTTTTTCGTAGGTTTTGGTGCACCAGTTCCACGAACAACAGCTGGTCGGACAGTAACCGTAATTTTTGCTGCGATCGGTATACCAGCACATTTTCTTCTCATTATGAATTTTGGTCTTCTATTGGCAGTACGATTACAGAGATATGCTATATCAAGGAAGTTTACCGATTACGATCAAACGGATCCAAACTGCTTGGCACCGGTACCCAAGTGGGTGAAAGTAATACCCTTCGTTTGTGTAGGTAATTGCAAAATCATAATGTACATCACGTATAATATATACAAGCATGGATATTTTCTTCGAAATATCGGATTCAAATTAATATCACGTGTTTATGCTACAAAATCGATAACGTATCCCTATTTGTTACGGCTCTTACTGCACTTTTTGATATAGTTTCATATGAAATTTTGTTATCCAAATGTATCGATTTAACATTAGCATTTTAGATTTTTTGTTTCTTACGTTATCATTACTCGTTGTCATCGTCACAGTCAAATTTTTAGATATTCGTTTCTGATATTATTTAAAAAATCATATATGAGATACATTCAAAACGTCTTCTTACATTTTACATATCGCCATATGAATCTTTTTCTTCCTATTTCAAAGAAATAGAAACTCTCTGCTAACAACTCTTAATCTCATCGTTTCCTGTAATGAACCGCCAGGCTACTTATTTATCTAAAGAAACAAGTGTGACTTATTTTATACCAGATTAACGTTAAAGATATCAAATAAATTAAAATGACAAAATTTATGTTGATTTTTATAAAGATAAAAAATATAATGTTAACTTAAGATTAATTTTACAACGATAAAGTTCTTTGATTTTTATCTAAAAATCTGTCTTAACAAAATTCATAGAAAAAATTACAATGTGAAATATTTAATTTATGAAGTTACAAAAATTATGGTTTAAAAAAGGTACTTCAAAGTTGAATACTCTACTTTTCACATATTAAGACTGTCCGATATAAATACTTTTTGTAGAAAAGATAGAAACAGACTTTGGTTAGTCAATGAAACTATGTATTAATGCTAAATTTCAAAATTTTCCTATTACTTTTACAAAATTTACAAAAAAATTTACATTTACAAAACTGTAAAAGACAGAAATATATTTTATAATATTTACTTTACATTCTGGAGAATTGAAGAATTTTCTTGCAATATAATTTGCCAATACCTTTCTTACCTACTTATATCTTTAAAAATTTGAAATTTTACTACCGATTTCTGTTTGTATATTATTATTAAATCCGCATCTTTATTTCGCCCAAACTTTCTTGGAGAATATTGTTGATTCCTATCAAAATTCTCTTAGAACTTCGATACAAATGAGTCATTCATTTGCCAAATCGATTAACACTACAAAATAAAGAAAAAACTTATTTATTTTAAATATGAAAACATTAACCTTTTATTATGTTTAACTGTAACGTTAAAATTAAAAAAAGAATTTGGAAAATAGAGTTAATCACTTTGACTTGTGAAAGAGTCAAATTCGAATTCACAAAATTTATCACATATGTACATGTACGTATATGATAGCTTTATGACAGTGTATCCATTTGTAAGTGACCAGCAAAATATAATCTTGGATAATGATTCACAAAAGTTGTGTTCATTTGAGAGAAATGCTTTCGAGAATAACACGCGCTAGTTTATTCCCAAATGAACACGTACTTACGGTCTGGAGCTATTTCAAAATTTCCATATTTTTATTCGAAAAACGCATTCAATTGTTCTAGGGAATTTCAACATTCTTTTAGCCCATCTCGTTTCTTTTTTAGTAATTTTATTGTATTTTTCTTTGATTTATAAGATCACAATCTTTCCTTTCAGTGTCTTTCATTGTTTATCATTTTTTATAACTTAAAAATGAACATAAATAATTTAAATATCCAGTAAAAAATGTTCTGTCATTTTGGAGCATGTGGGAATGCAACTTAAGAAAATATAATTATTTTTAAAATATGTCTTCGTTTATTATCACTTTTAAGAAACAATTAAGATATTATATAGTTATTTTTATTTTATTTGTATAAATTATAAATAAACGAGTACTTGTCAATTTAAAAATCAAATGATATTTTCATATAAAAAAGAGGGACGACTTCACAGATTTTTGTGATTTTAAAATATATTATCGAGAAAGTGATTCTAAATAACTTTTCTCTACATACAGTGTGGTCCATGTAACTTGTATATTACAGTTGACTTTTACGGCAAATGTTGCATGAAAAAATTTTGTACGTAATTTTGTATAGTTATATATTTTGCATGATATTACACGAAGTAAATATTTAAAAAATGAGACAAAATTATTCGTCAACTACTGAGGTTGCAGGTAATAAAGATCAATATTGTTTTTTAATCAGAAAGATAGTTTATTATATTATTTCGTTAAAATATTATAATAATATTTAATAATATACTTGAGGTGTGCGAATTACATTGACCATCCTGTATATTATCATCGCTTAATTTTTATTTTCAAGATATTTCAATGAAATGTTTTCGATATTGATAGCATGAATGTTATGAATCACAGGTGTCTTGCTGTTTATATTTCACACCTGGCATTATAACTCCCATACCACGAGACGAGACAGTCAATAAAGCGACTGTACGTGATCGACGCGTGAGTAAGACAGGGTCGGCACACAATTTTCAGGGATCCCAAAATATAAGGAAATAAATTACGACCTACTTGTGAGGGCCACCGGTAAAGGACCACTACAAATTCGCCCCTGAGCAGGAGCCGCTGTTGCCGCAGCATCGATCACGTGAACTTTTATTTATTCCTTCTGTCTCGTCTTTAGAATCCTAATCTAATCAAAGAATTGGAATTTTAATCTAACCAAATTAAGTAATTACGCTAAAAGTCGAGATACATTTTATTGGGAAAACTATAGTTTAGTGACTTTGCCCTAAAGCGACTTATTTTTTACCTGTTTCTTAAAAAAATGTATTTTAGCATCAATAAGAATTATAGACAAAGAAAGCTTGAAAAAATAATGTACTTCAACTTTTTTTCTTGCAAAAACAATTTGAAAAAAAAAAGAAGACAGAATGCGTGGATCGACCACGATAAATTTGAAGTATGTTATAAAGAACGAAATTTTGAAAATTTATTTAAACAATTTATTTAAACAATTTAAACAATAATCAATTTTTGATATATTTGGAAAGATTGTTGATACTATTGTACTACATTGAACTCTCTCTGTATTTATGCTGTAAGAAATCGTTTTATGTTTCTATAAATACATGTTGACAAGAGCGGGTGGCTAGAAAAAAGTCACTAGGTTTTGCGTGGTTACTAATTTTGCTTGAGTCTAACTTGCGAAATATTAATTTGACCCGACCTAATCCAATTAAGTAATATTAATTTAGGTTAAATTGGGTTATAGTAATATTCCTACCAGTCACGAATGATGACGTTCAGTCATCCGTTATATACATTAGACGAACAGTGATCTTTTCCAGTTTCTGTGTCATCGGCACACAAGTAAAGTTCAATATAATAGTATCAACAATTTTGTCAAATATGTTGAAAACTAAAACCGAGTGACAATTTTTATTCGAATAAAAGTTCTTCCGAATTTCGTTCTTTATAACATACGTCAAAATAATTGGAATCGGTTTAGACTTGTGCAATTTTTCAAATTTTATTTTTTGCAAAAGAATAGCAAAAACATGAAACGTTTTCAAGCTCTCTCCATCTATAATTCTTATTATAGATATATATAGCATTTTTGGGAAAACTAGAAAAAATAAGTCGATTTAAGGCAAATTCACTAATAGTAACTAACCTATAAGTTACAATTTCACCGAATTGGTAAATTAATATTTCTACCGACATAGGGCGGGAAATTTAAAACTGTTGAAATTAATGGAGCTTGATCCTTCGTAATTCACGGTGCCTTATTCGTTGATGAAGCAAACATTTTTCATCTCGTGATACGCTTTCATAATCATCCTCGCGGATACACATGAACACGGAAAATTTAGTATAATAGCAAAAATAATTTTTGATTTATATCACTAAAATGAAGGTAGAACGGCGATTACCGGCATAGAGAAAAGTTGCTTAAAATGACTTCTCCGACGATATATTTCAAAGTCATCGAATCGATGAAGTCACCTGCCTCTTCTGCATAATTACTCGTTAAATTATATCGAAAAAAATACGATAAAAAACTTTTATGAATCATAAAAATGGAAATCAGCATTTACCGAATAACAAATTAATTATTGTGATTCCATGAAATGAACATTTCTGATATTTTGTTTCACATGACACGTTTTAGTATTCAATAATAAGTATCGTCATTAAGTGAACTTTGAGTTAAACTTTGAGAAAATCAATATGTATTTTTACAACTCAGAAAATAATTGACATCGGTTTCCTGACAATATGCTTGTTTCTGAAAATTTTATCGATTCTATTCTTATCTTGTTTCAAAATTCATGTATCAAATCTGTACGATGAGATGTACCATAACATAAGTAAATACGAGTGAGAGCTGAAGTTTCAAATTTAGAATTTCTAATCCATTTAAAAATTTGGGAAGTTAGTTAACCCTTTGCACTCTGCGATTATTTCGTTACAGAAAAATAATAATTCGAAAACTTTCTGCCATAAAACCGACGATATTTTTAAAACGGCAAATAAGAAATCGTATGCAAATTAAGACGTAAAATTATTTTGCTTCGATATTCCACGCATTATTGGGTAATTGTAAATTTGATATATTAATTAACATCCATCTTTAAAATCTGATTAAATGGCGACTGAGAGGCGCCTCTCTAGTGCAAAGGGTTAAATCTCGAGTTTACGAAAATTATATCGATCTCTAAAGATTTATTTTACTATCGTTATCTGATTCAATTAATCATTCAATTAATGTCCATTGTCTTCTATCCATTTTGAAGCAATAAAAAAATGAATACTCGTGAAAAATGTAAAATATAAAAGAAATTACACGTTATAATACTTCCTTGTTTCGAATCAGTAAATTCATATCAATCATAAAACGATAAAACGATAACCTCGATTATAGAATCAATTGCGCTGTTTAAGAGATTACGCTATATTTTTCTCTTCTTAGAATGATATTACAATGATGAAAAATAAAACAAAATGTTTTGAGGAAATTATGGTAATAACTGAATCATACTGTCCAATTCAGGAAATTCATACCGCAGACGTTAATGCAATAATTTTCCTTT